TTTGGGGTGCCATGAACCATATAAGATGATGAACTTAATTGATAAATGTGTGTTCTGACTGCTCCACCCACTGGCCCACCCTCTTCTTGGGCATCCCTATTTCCTGAGACACAAAAGTACTGAAATGAAGCTGGGCGCAGTGGCTCATGCCTGTAATCTCAGCGCTTCGGGAGGCTGAGGCAGGCAGATCGCCTAAGGTCAGGAGTTCGAGACTAGCCTGACCATCATGGAGAAACCTTGTCTCTACTAAAAATACAAAAGTAGCCGCACCTGGTGGCACACGCCTGTAATCCCAGCTACTCGGGAGGCTGAGGCAGGAGAATCGCTTGAACCCGGGAGGCGGAGGTTGCAGTGAACTGAGATGGCGCCTTTGCACTCCAGCTTGGGCAACAAGAGCGAAACTCCATCTCAAAAAAAACAAAAACAAAAACAAAAAAAACTGAAATTAGAGTAATTAATCACTCTCCAATGGCCTCTAGTGCTCAAGTGAAAGAAAATGTCGCACGTCTTTTACTTTATATCAAAAGCTAGAAATGATGAAGCTTAATGAGAAAGGCATATAAAAATTGAGACAGGCTGAAAGCTAGGCCTCTTGGGCCAAACAGTTAAAGTCGTAAATGCAAAGGTAAAGTTCTTGAAAGAAATCAGAACTGCTACTGCAGTGAACATGTGAATGATAAGAAAGCAAAACAGAGTTAGTGCTTCTATGGAGAAAGTTTTTGTGGTCTGTATAGACGATCAAACAAGCCACAACATCCCTTTTAGCCAAAGCCTAATCCATGCAAGAGCCCTGACTTTCTTACATTCTGTGAAGGTTAAGAGATGTGAGGAAGCTGCAGAAGAAAAGTTTGAAGCTAGCAGATGTTGGTTCGTCAGGTTTAAGGAAAGCAGCCATCTCCGTAACAGAAGTACACGGTGAAGCAGCAAGTACTGATGGAGAAGTCGCAGTGAGTTAAAATATCCAGAAGATCTAGCAGAGCTCACTGATGAAGGTGGGCCATGCTACACAACCGACAACCGATTTCAAAACAATGTAGATGAAAGAGCCTTCTGCTGGAAGACGATGCTATCTAGGAATTTTATAGCTGGAGAGGAAAAGTTAGTGCCTGGCTTCACAGCTCCTCTTGATAGGGGCTAACGTGCCTGGTGACTTCAAGTTGAAGCCAGTGCTCATGGACCATTCTGAAAATCCTGGGGCCCTTGAGAACTATGGTAAATGTATTCTGCCTGTGCTTTATAAATGGAACAGCAGAGCCTGCATGACAGCACATCTGTTGATAGCATAGTTTACTGAGTATCTGAAGCCTACTGATACGATTTGGGTACTTCGTCCCCTCTGAATCTCATGTTGAAATGTGATCTCCAGCATTGGAGGTAGGCCTAGTGGGAAGTGTTTGGGTCATGGAGGCAGATCCCTCACGAATGGCTTAGTGCATAGGTCCCCAACCCACAGGCTGCAGATCAGTACCAATTTGGTACCAATTTGTGGCTTGTTAGGAACTGGGCCGCATGGGAGGAGGTGAGCGGCAGGCAGGCACACATTCCTGCCTGAGCTCTGCCTCCTGTCGTATCAATGATGGCATTAGACTCTCATAGGAGTGTGACCCCCTGTTGTGGACTGTGCATGTGAGGCATCTGGGTCTAGTGCTTCTTATGGGAATCTAACCAATGCCTGATGAGGATCTGAGATGGAACAGTTTCATCCCGAAACCATCCCCCATGGTCTGTGGAAACATTGTTTTCCACAAAATCGGTCTCTGGTGCCAAAAAGTTTGGGGATTGCTGGCTTAGTGCCATCCCTGGTGGTGAGTGAGTTCTTGCTCAGTTCACGAGAGATTTGGTTGGCTAAGAGAGCTTGGGGCCTCTCCTTTCTCTGTCTTGTGCACTTTATCTCCCTCCTTCCTTCCCTCCCTCCTCTCTCTCTCCCTCCCTCCCCTCCCCTCTCTCTCTCTCTCTC